TTGAATAGCGCGCAGAGCCTAACCATGCCTTCTTTACCCAGTGCTTTCCTTGTATCTATGGGAGCTCCGTCCGGGCCAGGGGCCTTTTTATTTTTCATTCTGCTCAAGGCTTGTTCCACTTCCTCCGGTGAGATCTTTTCCACTAGACCCTGGTTTCTCAGAATTTCTTCCACGGCCTCTCTGGGATGTTTTTCATATAGTAACATTTGGAAGTGCCTTCGCCGTCGGATGTGAATATTTTTCTCGTCGGTCAGTACCGTTCTCCGTTCGTCTTTTATGCACTTCACAGTACCGACAACTTTTCTTCTTTTCCTCTGACTTTTGCCTGCGGTAGATGTCTTTATCCTCTTCCTTCATTGTCAGTTTTTCGTCTAGACCATTACGCACAGACTTTGCTTCGGCGACGACTTTCTTTGCATCCCACTTTAATATGACTTATTTTACTTTGTCTTCCGCTACTTTGTTTTTTGATTGTTGCCATTTCTTGAACAGTTTTTTCTTTTGTGGTAGGATCGCTTGAAAGTCCGCATTCCACCGCCACGTTTCTGGATATGTGTTGTGCCTTTTGTTTCTCCGACTATGCCTCTATCATTTCCAACGATTATGCTGGCCATCTGCTTCCATACTTCGTCTATTTTCCTGTTGAAATCTTGCTTTTTCGTCTTTATCGTTTTTTAACTTCCGTTTTGAACGCTTCTTTCAGCTTCCCTTCGAGCTTCCACCACTGCATCTTCGGGGCTGTCGTCGTGCCCACCGTCTGAATGGGCTGTTTCAGAGAGCGGCCTAGGGTCAGCAGCCCATGCTGGCTTGTAACAGTTTCCCCGGTTATAATCTTGCAGTATCTGACGTTCTTAAGTTCATCCCTTCGAAGTAGAAAGTAGTCGACTTTTCTTCTGCCCACTCTTGGATGTTAGCAGGCGGTTTCACCTTTCTGGAAGGACATGTTTATCACAGCCAAATCATCTACATGATGTTCTCACCTTCTTTGTTTAACGTTCCGTGTCCATGTCTTCCATGGATCCTGTAGTAACCTCTCCGATGTTTCCCGACTTGGCTTTTAAGGTCACCCCGATTACCATTTTTTTCTTTTCGCAGTAAGTTTTGCAGTTAAGTGTCTAGACTTTCCTGAGGTACCGATTATTTGGCTTTACCCTAGACAATCTGAGGTGCATAGGCACTGATTTTATTTAAGATACCACTTTCCAAAGTCAGCTTAACGCCCATGATTCTATCGTTAATTCGGTTGGCTTCGAATACCCTATTTTTGGTCCCTTCATTCAATACCACTCCAACTCCGTTTGTTCTGCTTGATGTTCCACAGTAAATAAGTTTATAGCCTATCTTAATCCCTTTCGATTTGTCGTCTTCCTTTCCATCCTTTTCATATCTCCTGAATATACAAGATCTGAACTTTTCTTCTCTGAAGAGCCTCCGTTAAGCTTCATGCCTTTTCCCGTCATTGTTCCGATGTTCCAAGTGGCTATTTACATTTTCTCGCTTCGTTTTCCTCATGTAAATCTCTCCCTTTGCAATTGCCGTCGTCGCAATAACTGGTACCCTTGCTCATTTGTCACCGTCGCTAAGATTTGCTGCCGCCCATCGCCTGTTGTGAACACCATAGAATTCTTTCTAGAGGTCAGTTGACTCATCATATTTGGCTTTGGCATTAGCCTTTAAGGCTAGCTGCCTGCCTGACGCAAACTTGTCTTTCTCAACCGGAAAACCGCCTTTGCTAGAAGTTGACTCGCCGCACTCTCGTTGCACTGTTCGTGAATGCTTATTCGTGGGATTCTCCGCTTATTTCCCAGCAAACCGTAACGTCTGAAAGTTGTCCCACAATCTGCAGCCTGTGACAACACGTTCAGTAGCATCTGATCTTGCCTAGTCACTGCTGTCGAAATAGATAAGTAGGAGAAATACTCATTATGAAAAATCATCATAATTGATGATGAATACATAATATCAATGGCAAATAATGAAAATTACATGTTGATTTTGAAATTGATATTAATACCAGTTAATAAGAAGTCTTTCATGATGAGGATGAAATGACGTAAGGTTCATCTAGGACTGCATATGCTTAAATCATTATAGCCGTAGCCTAGCTTAAAAGATACAGTGGGCCACAATTCGGAACAGGCGTTTGAATACGCCATGAAACCTTCGTGGAGTGGTGCATTAATTATAACAGCATATTATTAGGCTGTAATATGCTGTATGGTAGTGTACTGGTGAACTACATATGTGTATGGTAGTGAGCTACGTAGTATGCATCATCAACTACTATACTTCTATACTGTGGTTCAATACAATTACTACTGAGGACTCGTAGTACTGCAGTAACTCTACTAGAATGAAATTTAATTTTAAAGGAACTCAAATTTCACTTTTATGTCTTAATTGACTGTAGATGGATCCAGCATTGCACTTCCATATCGAATAAATAAAAAATGTACAGTGATATATTTTTAGGTGTTGGGCTGCGGCTCCTTCGGGGTTGGCATATGGCTGTACGTGGTGAAAGCTGATTACACCAGCATAGCTGCACCTAATTTCGGCGCTCTCAGTGCCGCGGCGCTGTATGTAGCAGCGGGAGCGACGATCATCGTCATCGGCTTCGTCGGTTGCTGCGGAGCATGGGTAGAAAGCAAATGTCTTCTAATCACCGTCAGTTTTTTCTTTTTTTCTTTTTTTTCGTCTGATAAATTTTACTTTTCAGTACTTCGTTTTTGTATTGCTGGTCTTCGTAGTGGAGCTTACGGCTGGAATTTTGGCTTTTCTGTACAAACGTGAGGTCAGACAATTAATGATTTCAAAGCATTTTTATGCAATTTTTGGTATTTTATTTTTGTTGCACCTAAGGTTTGGATCCGATAGGACATTGTTGCCCCTTTGTCTGTGTTCCTAAGAAATTGTCGAATGTCTGTTGAGTTAAACGGGATCAGCTCCTTTAGAAATTTGTTAATTACTTTATTCTTGAAGATCCTCTCAGCACTCGTCGCTCTGATTAGTTATGATTCGGTAGTTTCCAAAATTTTTAAATTCAAAGGGCTTTTCAATTGGCAGAGCATCAGACTCAAATGCAAAGATTCCAGGTTCGGTCCCCGGTCAAGGTTAACTCGTCGTTATTTCTTCTGAGGTTAATGAACGAGTACCAATCTGTGAGAGAGTGCATGCCGTGTTGCCACGTCACTTTAAATTCTGTCTTTCAAGAAAGGCGCTCCTGACTGATGGAATAGAATCGGAGACCAGCATCATGCCATTAAATTGGCTGAAATAAAGGG